TCCGAGTTCATTAAAGCCATTGAGGATGAAGTGTTTGTGCGAGGAGACGTTCTCCATCCTCCCCTCTTCATAAAACTTCCTCGTTCAGGGTTTTAGTTCAATCAGCCTGAAAACAGAGAGAGAGACCAAATGACTAGAATGTTTAACTTCCACAAAACTGAAAACTATGTTCCTGTAAGATGCCTTCTAGTTTGATAAACACTAATATAAAACCTTTTCACAAACTTGCCTCAAACTTGCCTGTCTTTACAGTACAGTATCATTTCAGGCTGGCTCTTCCAACAAATATGCGTAAAATACTAAAATCCCCAGGACCCTTACACTGAAGGGTCCCAGTTTTAGGGTTTGGAAATATAGTCACCTTAATTTACAGAGCATAACTAATATAAAAATAGACACATAACTGAGTCCTTTTTTGAGGGTCCCTTTTTTCATTTGTATAGTTAATTGAATTTCATTGACTCTCCAATTCTTTTTGAAAAGGCACAATGGGTTGAAGTCTGTTCAATTTTTAACACAAATAACCATATTTCAGTCATTTACAGTTGAATTTTGTTTTAAGATCATGTCACTCATACAGAACTGTGAAGATTGTTTCATGTGCTGCAACAAAGACATTTTTAGGACTGTATTATAGTGCTAGTGGACTTTAACATTCACATCATGGTTTGTAAATTTAAATTTCCTCACAACTGAAACATGCACTTCAAGATCTCAGAGGAAACAGTTGTAACAGGCCACATTCAACGTTAAACTCATATATAGCTCAGATGTCTTTGTTCAGGGTTGACAATTTACATATATTGTTAAGCCTTTATTTATTATTAAATGTATCTCTCTACTGTTCAAAGTACCATGCATTAGTTATAGTTCTGTAACAAAATAAGGAGCAAGACATTTCAGTGATACCTGCCAACATTGTGGACAGATATGTGTATATATATATATGTATATACACATATTCTGGATATATTTTTATCAAAAAAAAAACAACAGGTCAACTGTGAAAACATAAGCTCATAAGGATAGAGGATATTGAATGACAGTTTGTGAGTAACAAACAAATATTTGTGTGTGATAACAGGTGTGCTGAGAAACCCATGCCTTCCAGAAAGAGAGCAACATTTATCACAATTCTTAACATTTAGCAGTTAGAATGTCTTCTGGCTGTATCAACAACAAATATATATCAAGGGAAGAACAACACCTCAACACCACAAAACATTTTGTCAAACAAACCTAAAAAAAAGCAGAGCTGGCTCAGAACCGGCTTGTTTCTCCTCAGGCTAGTGGTTTCACATTGAAGAGAGAACTGAGACCACATCAGAAGGTTTTACATGTTGTTGGTGTTTGGGAGTTCGTCAGTAAACATGTCCCGTCTACAGGTTGATGATGCCAGCCGCTGACTCTCCTCCATCCAGCCCTCCATCCACCTGTCCCTACTGAACACTGACTCAGCATTTTAATACCCTTCGTCTGACGCTGCCATTGGCTGAAGAGACAAAGTTGGACTGAAGGTCCCACAGTGTCATGCAGTCAAAATAAGAAACTAAGTTTGGAAGAATTCCCCTGTGCAGTATATCAGGCTAATTGGAAGTTATCACTATATTGGGAGTCCAGGCAAAATCACAGTCTTTCTGCTGCAGGCGGAACAGAGGTGCAGCTATACAAGAGAAGGCGCGCACAAACCGCCTGTAGTAGGACGCCAGTCCAATAAAGCTCTTCAGCTCTCGCAAGTTGGTGGGTCTGGCCAGTTCTTCACTGCCCGCACTTTTTCCTCAAACGTGCTGATGCCCTCTCCCCCAACTCTGTGTCCCAGAAACTGAAGCAGCACTTGTCAGGGTGGAGCTTCAGACCCGCCGCTACTGTCCTCTGTAGAACCCGCCGCAGGGCCCCCAAGGCTGCCTGGAAGGAGCTGCCGTGGACCAGGATATCGTCCAGTTAGACCACACATTCCTGTCGGGGGATGTCGGCTAAAAGCTTTTCCATCAGCCATTCGAACGTGACCGGCGCGTTGCACAGGCCAAAGCAGAGGACTCGAAACTGCCACAACCCCGACGCTACAGAAAGCTGTCTTCGGTCTGGCTTCAGGGCTGAGGGGCACCTGCCAATACCCGCTGCGTAGGTCTAAAGAGGAGAACCAGGACGAGCCGGACACCAAGTCCAGAGACTCGTCTATGCAGGGCAGTGGGTATAAGTCTTTCTTGGTCACGCTGTTTAGTGGTCTGTAGTTGACGCAGAACCTTTGGACTTTTCTTGTTATTGACCATCACAACCCCCGAGGCCCAGGGGCTGTCAGAGGGCTTGATGATGCCAGCCATCAGCATCTCAACAATCGTGCTGTCCGCAGCTGCCTGATGCGCCAGGAGAAGGCGGCGGGGGCATGTCTTGATGGGCCGTGCATCCTGAGTGTCGATTTCGTGCTGCACCTGATGTGTCAGGCCCACTTCCTCTTCTGTCAGTGCAAAAATGTCCTTAAATTCCACCAACACCTGCCACAGCTCCTCCTGCTGCTCGGGTTCTAAGTCATCGCAGCTGAGTTTCCATACCTGTCTTAGTGCTGCCAGTCTGTCCACCTGTCCTGCTGTGGGCTGCTGGTCCAG